AACTATCCAGAGTGGTGAACTTTTAAAAATTGGCTGTGATATTCTTGGCAGTTAAAAATAAGAAATATAAATGTAACCAGCCAAAGCAGGTAGAAATTTAATCCTCATGAAAAACTTCTTGGAGAAAAGTTTATCCTGCAATCAGCATTCCCAAACACCTACTAGTGATATCTAGATAAATCTTTTTATAAGGTATCCTGTATTAAATCCCCAAATAGTGACATCAGCAAATATTTTCCAGGATAACAAGAGGGCTGTCCATCATGATGCTATCTTCCGTGGTTATAAATGCACTCCAAGTATTCAGACTTTTTCATAATTATTAGGAGGGCAAAAATGTGCTGTCACTTTTATAAAAGACTAGGATTTTGATTTTGGAGAAAAAGAAAGACAAAATGAGTTACAGTGGTCAGATATAAAGTTACAAAGCACAAAAAGCTTTGAAAATAGAACAATATAATACTTTTTACATCAGTTACTGGTAATAAACTTACAGCCTGGAGCTGTTCTTTGCAAATATCTTTTCCCATTCGGTTGGGTGCCTTTTTGTTTTGTTGGGAGTTTCTTTTGCTGTGCAGAAGCTTTTTAATTGGATGTGATCACATTCATTTATTTTTGCCTTTATTTCCCTTGTCTTTGGGGTCAAATTCATAAAATCTTCTCTAGAATCAAGGTCCATAAGTTAGTACCTATGTCTGCTATGTAATTTATTTTTTCAGGTCTTATATTTAGGTCTTTGATCCATTTTGAGTTAGTTTTTGTATTGGGAACAATCAATAGTTTAGTTTCATTCTTTTGCATGTGACTTTCCAATTTTCCCAGCAACATTTATTAAAGAGGCTTTCTTTTCTCCTTTGTGTTTTTTGGCTCCTTTGTCAAAAAAAATATTTGCAGCTATACATATGAGCTTATCTCTGGGCTCTCTGCTCAGACAAGGGGTTAATATCTAAAATATATAAAGAACTCATGTAATCCCATCAAACAAAAAACCCAATTAAAAAATGAGCAGAGAACCTGAATAGACACTTCTCCCAAGAAGACATACAAATGAACAACACTACACTCTATCAATCAACACACACTGGTGCTTGGTGAGAACTGTATGAAAAGATGCTCAGCTTCACTAGCTATTAGGGAAATGCAAATCAAAACTACAATGTGATACCACCTCACACTTGTTAGAATGGCTATTATCAACAAGACAAGTAGTAACAAATGTTGGAGAGGCTATGGAGAAAAAGAAACCTTCATTCATAGCTGGTGGGAATGTAAACTGGTATAGCCACAATGGAAACAATATGCTAGCTCCTCAAAATATTAACAATATAGTTATCATATGACCCCAGCAAGCCCTATTCTGGATATCTACCTGAAAATTTTGAAAACATTTATTGGCAAAGATATACTATGCACCCCTTTAGTCATTGCAGCATTATTCATCCTGGCCAAGACATGGAAGCAACCAAAGTGTCATTCAATAGATGATTGGATAAAGCAGATGTGGTACATCTATACAATGGACCACTACTCAGCCGTAACAAAAGATGAAATACTGCCATTTGCAACAACATGGTTGGACCTTAAGAATATCATGTTAAGTGAAATAAGTCAAACAGAAAAAGTTAAGAACCATATCATTTCACTCATATGTGAGATATAAAACTCAAAGCAACAAATGAACAAACAAGAAAAATAACACATAGACATAGACAAGTATGGTGATTATCAGAGGGAAGGGAGGTGGGGCCATTGTAAAGGATAAAGGGGGTCAAATATATGGTGATAAAAGATTATTTGACTTTGGGTGGTGGGTATACAGATCATATATCATAGAAATGTACACTTAAAACCTACATAATCTTACTAACCAATGTCACCCCAATAAATATCATTATAAAATAAACTTACAACCAACTGATAGTACATATAAAAACAGACATGAAAAATTTATCTTTTATATCAGTACATATGTATTACTCTCTATCTAAAACCAACTTTCTGTAAAAATAAGTGTAAATGACATGTATCTTTAAAGAATATAACATGATGCCAAAAAAAAGGTTTAGGAGAAGCATTTTGGCTTTTCTTTATTATAATCAAATTAATTTTAGAGGAATTCCCTAAATAATTCATTAAAAGTAACAATATTCTCAGGTCAGAAATATATTTGAATCAAGAAATATATTTGAATAGTCAAGACTTTCAAATGTTTCAAAAGTAGGAAAACATGTTAGCAGTTATTTTCTACAATTTTTTTATCTCTTCATTTGGATCTATCTTGGTATTTACTCTTGTTTGATGACTGTTTTATTGTTAACAATTTTTAGCCTTAGCCTTGGTATTATTTTAATATGGTAAGACTAAGAGAAAATATTTTTCCTCTTATGCTTAAACACTTTACTTAAAAATCTTACTTTAAATACAATTTAAAGGTACTTAAAAGTTACCTTTATCTTTTACTCAAAATAACCTCTCTTAAAATCATTGTTTTATGAGTTATGTATATAATAGAGAAGAAAGAATTGGTCCAGGGCCTGGAATCAAATCCAGAGAAAGTAAGACACAAATTTATTCAAATAGAATATAACATGTACAATTTTAATAAAAAAGTGAAATTGTTTAGGAGAAACCAATGAATCACCCATTTTTTTATATTAGTTATTCATGTCTATCATTTTTATTCACATAACCATTACCTCAAGTAGTATTTATTTATCATATATCCTTCCAAAACCCTAATCAAGACCCTGTTGTTTGGGGTAATGTAAGAAATTAAGTAATCAGAAAACTACAAATTAAAAATGAGATTGTAATTTTTGTCAATAAAATTTTCTGAAATTAATTGGATTACCTCTATTAATATTATAAGCATTTAGGCACTTTGATATAATAATCCTTTTTATTAAAGTTCAATATTCTGAAAAAATTGCTTAAGTAACTACTAATTGCTTAAGTTTGGGGATGTTTACTTTCCTGGGTAATAGCAAAACATTAAAAAAAGAAAGAATTGCAATTAAATAATTAAGTGGTGTAGAATTATAAATAATTTTTGCTTTTATATATTCCTCAGGATTTGAAATGGTAAAGTTAAAAAACTGGTATTTCTTAGATATACGGTCATAATTAAAAATGGGTAAATTAAGGGCAGGTCCTTCCATATAGTAATATCATACAGATCTATCTCATACCTATCTGCCAGTAATTCACAGTATAGGTAAGCCTTAATTTGCTCATTTTTCTTGCTCTGATGAATATCTTGATTATTTTCCAAGTTCTCATTTAACTTATTTCATTGAAGAGGTCATACAAATGGCTAATAGAAATAAAAATCTTGACTTCAGTGGTAATTAAACAAAACAACATAAAGCAAAATGTCACTTTTAAAGCTATCAAATTAGTAAAGATTTAAAAATGACAATCACCAATCCCGGCTAGCATTCAGTGGGTTAGTCTGGAAAACAGTTAGGCTATGTGTATCACGAATTTTGAAGGAACGCATTTAATTTTTTTGTACTCAGTAACTGCCATATCAAATATTCTTTAATAACCAAATGATAAAATTACAAATAAAGACATATCAATCTGTCTATTCATCTAGTGTTGTTTCTACAGTAGCTTAAATATAAAAAAAATAATGAATGGTTAAAAATAAAACATGATGATCAACAAGAATTATCACTGAAATGAGTAAATGCTCAAAAAATAATTTCCAGCATATTGGATGCATAACTCTATATATAAAATATACAAACATAATATAATAAAAACTGGCCTAAAAGGAATATACAATTTTTTTAGTGGATATCCCTAGAAGTACTTAAGAGTAATTTTTATATTCTTCTTTGTCCTTAAACATATTTTCTAAATTTTGTACAACAAATATTTACTACTTTTAAAGAAAGAATAAAAAAATATAAAATGCATGCCTATCTATAAAATCCATGGTGCTGTTGCCCTTCACCTATAAAATAAAGTTCAAATTGGCTATACTCATGTTAAAGCCCTTTCAATCTGATTCCATTTTATCCATCCAATTTTATTCTTTTTTCCCTTTTTATTGAATTTATTGGGTTGACATTTGTTAATGAAATTATATAGGTTTCAGGTGTGTAACTCAATAACACATCATCTGTATAATGTATTGTATGTTTACCACTCCAAGTCATCTTCCATCAACTTGTCCCCTCTTTACCCTCCTCTACCTCCCCCTCTCCCCTTTCCCCTGGTAATTACTATGCTATTGTCTGTGTCTATGAGTTTGGGGTGTTTTTTTTAATTAATTGCTTCACCTTTTCACTCAGCTCCCCAACCCCTCTCCACTCCTCTACCACTCAACACTGTCTCAGATGGTCGCCAGGCATGTCATGGCCCATCTAGATGCCGCCCATCAGGCCTGGAGCCTCTGCCCTAGGGTTTCTGACCATGATGTCTGGTTGTAATCATGTAAAGCCACCTTCAGATATTCATGATGCTCTAAACCAAGGTTGGCAATTCTAAAAAATCATTTTGGACCTGGTTCCAATGAGTGCAGCACAGTAACTCAGAAGGAAAACCCCTCTGAGAGCAAAAATCCCATTAGTACTTGTTAAATGAATAAAAAAATCACTACTGTCCTCATAACAATAGTAGTAACATTTCTTGAGAGCTTTCTGTTTATAAGAAGGCACTGTTCAAATTTCATTTATCTTAATGTCCAGAATACTCCTCCATTTCAAATATGCATATTTATGCACATTTCCCAAGGAGATAAAGCCACTGGAGAACTGGGATTCACATCCAGCTCTATTTGATGCCAATATCTCTACACTAACAAATTTGCTTATGGGAAATCCACTAGAAATCATTTTGCATATAACATTTGTATTAGTTAATCTAAATGAATATCCATGTAGCTAAGTTAAAAAAGATAATCTGACTACAAAGTTTCCTATTACATATAAAAATAGATAAAAAGCCAATAAAACTTTCTTCTGAAACTCATTATACGTTAATATGTTTACCTGTATAGGACCAGCCAATCTCTTCAACAAGTTTTCTCTGTTGTCTATAGTATCCATAAGCCCAATCTATAACCAAGAAAAAAAAACAATTAATGTATAGAAAAACATGAATAAATTTTAAAAAAAAACACCCAAAACGTAAGATGGTCAAATTATCCATGCCATGAATGGTCCCTGATTACCCTTACCACATCGCTTTCCCAACCCCAATCACTACCATTATAGATTCCATTGTTGCTCTTTTTGTAGACAGTGTACATTTTAGGAGGCAATTTAAAGAAGGCTGAAGTTCAGGCAGGGACAAAGCATACATTCTGGGTAAAGCAGGAGCAATTTAGAGGGGTTTATCCCAAAGAGAGATGGGTGTCAGGCAGTTCAACTTTCCCTATCTTCAAATTTTTCTTCCCATTCCCTAAGTCTAATGCTTAAAATCCTATTGATTATTAGTAATACTTTTTGGGTTTATAAAAACACAGGTTTTATCTGTAAATGCTTCTGGGAGACCCAGAGGTTATCATGCTTTGAAAGTTTGCTTCTTTTACAATACAAAGTTAAATGAGGTGCCTCGAAAAAGTGGGAATTTAAATGTGTGTGTGTTGGCTGGGAGAAAGGTTATGTTAGAGAGTGTAGGTAAATCTGTCGCTTGGAGAAACAGAGATGCCTGAGTTGGGTAGCACAATGGGAAGCTTAGGGCATCATCAAAGCTTAGAGATGCCTCATGACTAGAAAGAAAGGCTCTAGATTTAGAACATGGGGAAGGAGGTATAGGAAGGAAAGTGGGTAGAAGCCTGTGATGTTGTGATTTATAGTAAGAAATATATATTTGGTCTCCATCACTGTTTCTGGCATAGAGCTCCTAAAACCTTGGAATTTCTTCATTGTAGAGAGCCATAAACATGTGTCTTTTTTATATTAATGAGGACACTCACCAACCAATGGTCCTGGGAACCACCTGATGATTAGAGGGTTGGAACTCTCCGTCCCTTTCTCGCCCATCCTCTGGGGAGTGGTGAGGAGCAGGATGAACCACCTGCCAGTGGTCAGTGTTTTAACCAACCATGCCTATGCAATGAAACCTCCATAAAAACTCAAAGAGGGTTTGGAAAACTTCCCAGTTGGAGACATTCCTGGTTGGTGAACATGTGGAGACTTGGGGACAGAGGCACACCTGGAGAGGGCATGGAAACTCCGAGCCCTTTCCCCATACCTGTCCTAGCTTCTCTTCCATCTGGCGGTCCATGGGTTGTATTCTTTCATAATAATCTGGTGATCTAGTAAGTAAAATGTTTTTCTAGGTTCTGTGAGTCACTCTAGCAAATTGATGTAACCGGAGGAGGGGGTCATTGGAACTCTAAACCTCAGCCAGTTGGTCAGAAGCACAGGTGAAAATATGGATTTGGCGACTGGCGTCTGAAGAGGTAGGGACAATCTTGTAGGACTAAGCCTGTACGATCTGCTGCTCTCCCATGTAGATAGTGTCAGAATGGAGTAAAATTGTAGGACACCCAGTTGGTGTCCAAGAATTGTTGGTGTGGGAACCCCCCGGCCCCACAAGTAGAAATTGGTTCCAGAACCTTTTAAAATCAAAGTCTCACTCTGCAAAATTCAAAATTTTGCCTGGAGTCATGCCTGCACCCAAAAAATGGGGGTGTTTGGATGGGTCCTGCTCCTTCTTGTGCCATTGTCCCTTACACCCAGACTGCACTATCATTAGTACTCTGTGGGTCAAATAAATCCTTTCAAATAAATCAGGTTCCAAACCCTGATCAGTGTTGACAAAACTGTTTCTGTAGAAATGGCTACAAATAGTTTACAAGAGAACTTATAGAATGTTATTCAGAAATTGAGGATCTGTCAATAAAGCCTTCATTGGAATGCAAGGATTTATTTATATTGTACCATACTATACCATTCCATATTACACCATACCATACCATACCATTCCATACCATACCATATTATTCCATACCACACCATACCATACTATTCCATACCATACCATTCCATACCATACCATACCATATTATTCCATACCATACCATACCATTCCATTCCACACTTATACTGATATTCTCAATAGCTAAGAAAAAAAACTATGTTTTTAAAATTCTCAATAAACAGTTGTTTTCTCCTTATTAACAGTTCCCAATTTCAGGGAAGCAAATATCTTAAGGACATTTCAGAAATTATTTTCCTTTTTTCTACATCACATACTCTCTGATTAGCTCAACATGGTAATAAATAATTGGTAAACTATTTTATAAAAACCGAAAAGCAGGCCAGCTATGAGAAATACACATTATGAATCCATAGAATAATAAAAATATACTTTGGAGAAATAAGGGTTTTGTTTTTATTTAAAATTTTTTATAACCATAAATGCTAGAAAATATTCCATTGGCCATCTAGCACATTTCAACACTTATTTGTTTTTATAACAGCTTTATTAAAATGTAATTCACATATCATACAATTCACCCATTAAAGTGTGCAATTTAATAGCTTTTCGTATATTCACAGAGTTGTACATTCACAGTACAATTTTAAAACATCTTCATTATTTTCCCTCAAAAAACATATAGCTGCCATTCCAAACCCGACACCCAAAACCCTCAGATCTAGGCAACCACTAATCTACTTTGTCGCTATAGATTTAGTATTCTAGACATTTCCTATAAATAGAATCACACAATCTATGGCCTTTTGTGACTGGCTTCTTTAATTTAGCATAATTAGTATTTCCAAAGTTCATCCATGTTGTAGCATGGATCATTACTTCATTCCTTTTCATTGCCTTAAAAATACTCATTGTATGGTGACCAAAATGGTCTTAAAGTTCCCCTCAGCTTGAATAAACTTTGGACTGGCTTCTTCTTGACTCTAGGCCCCTGACCTACCTTTTCTTAGAGTTTAGAAAACTTGTATGGTAAATTCTCTCTGTGTCCCTTTGAGATGTAAGTCTTTTTTCCTAGCCACTGGCAGTTTTACTCTCAGAAATGTACTCTCAAGGACAGGGGAATCTTCTCTTTGAAATGTAATCATCAAAGGAAATAGCACCCTTATCTCCTGTTTCTGAGAGGGTAGGAGCCTAACTTCATTGGGGTGCCTGCTCCAAGTTGCAAAAACTACCCCTGTGTCATAAAGTTATGCACTTATTTTTCCTTTGAATAAAGCCAATTGGCAAACACAAATGGTTTATGATTTTCCCCTTAATGTCCTGCAGTACTTTTCCACTGGGGCTCATTCCAACTTTACCCCCTCTACTTCAATGGAGTTGAATTCAGACTTAATTATGGCTTCTTTCCCAATTGCAATAGCTTTGAATAAAGTCTTCCTTGCTGTTTAACCTTGTCTGGTACAATTTTTGTTTTGACAATGGATGTACCACATTTTATTTATCCATTCATCAACCGATGAATAGTTAGGTTGTTTCTTTTTGGGGGGCTATTATGAATAGAATTGATATTAATATGTATGCATGTATTTGTTTTTCTACTTAAAAATTAAATATTAGGTTCCTACTTCATTTATCAAATAGAGTTATCCCATAGTAAGGTGGTCATTTATGGTTAAAGTGTTTCTTCATGATCATCAAGGAATCTATCCAATTAAATGTTAGAAAACGTCTCAAAGGTCATTTGACTCAGACCTCAAGAGTCTACAAAAAAAAATAATTCCTGCCCTGGCTGGTTTGGCTCAGTGTATAGAGCATCAGCCTGCGGACTGAAAGGTCTTGGCTTCCATTCATCAGTGGATAGAACATCAGCCTGCGGACTGAAAGGTCCTGGGTTCCATTCAGGTCAAGGGCGTATGCCTGGATTGTGGGCTCGATCCCCAGTGGGGGGCATGCAGGAGGCAGCTGATCAATGATTCTTTCTCATCATTGATGTTTCTATCTCTCTCTCCTCTCCCTTCCTCTCTGAAATCAATAAAAATATATTTTAAAAAAATTCTTATTTTAGAGTAAGGTAATTTATGCCAAAGAAATGTAAGTGGTGTGTAAAGGTAGTGACGGAAATGAACACAATACACATGGCTCCTGCCTCCTACTCCACTGAGCCTTCCCCAGTATCAGTGATTCCTAACAATCCTGAGCTATTTGTTACTATCCAAAGGTATGTTGCCTGAGCAGGAACCACTATAGCATGTATACCTTCAAGAGAAACAAAATAAAACAAAACGATACAGAAATCATTTAGATATATAAATGACTGAGAATTGACTGTATACCTGATTTGAAATGGCTATCAATTCTAATTTTCCTCTGAAACTTTGCACTGACCACAGGGAACAGGTTTTTCATCCTATTATATATTATAAATATAAATATTTTTAAATGTAAGACTTTTTGTCCTCTAATGCATTTTGATGATTTCCGATCAAAGACCATACAAACCCTACATTTAGCAAGTATTGCATTGAAATAAATAAAACAGTAAATTCTTGTTTAAACGATTCAGTCTAAAAGATGACAGCAAATAGCAAATTTTAGCTTTCCTTGTAGGGCTCAAACAATGAGCACTTGTCCTTGGTTTTTAATTGCTTACATTAAGAAATGAAACAGGGGGCGGAATCTCAGAGGGAAGGGGTGGGGGGTAGATGAGTGGAAGGTAATCAACCTAGGACCCTGTATGCATATATGCATGGCCCATGGACACAGACAATGGGGCAGTGAGGGCCTGGGGTGGAGGGTGGAGATGGGCTGGAGGAGGTCAATGGGGGGAAAAAGGGGACATGTGTAATACTTTCAACAATAAAGAGTTATTATTAAAAAAAAAAAAAGCTTCTTTTCCAATACAAGATTCCCAGGTGTTGGTAGCTCCTTCAGTTCCTTTTCATATTGTTCTCTTGTTACTTCAAACAATCCAGTACACATTCATATGCTAATTGCATAGTCGTTGAGTGTGAGAGAGTATCTCCTTAGAGGTCTGATAGATAAGATGTGATAGCTCCAATGAACAAGAAAAAAGAAGCTAGGGTCACTGTTTTCCTTGCATTATATACTTTGAAAATCAGTATATAAAACAGAATCTATCAAAGTAAACATTTTTAAACCAATTAAAATA